CCCCAAAACCCCAAAACCCCTTGTAGTAAAAATTTGCATATTTAGTGAAATTCGAACATTAATATATAATTATTATTATTAAAATATCATATTTCAAATGTAATCTTAGATCTAACACTATCTCTCCTAAATTGGAATTGATAAACTTCTCATTGATGCTTTTAAGGAGGTAGCTTTTCAAAAGCCCAGTGATCCATTAGTGTTTATTGGTGAGTATTTGCAAGAAAGAGCCAATATCCCTCAATCATAGAAAATTATGAAAACGGATGCTATTATTCCTTAGGAATTTTAACAAAATTCAATTTCAATTAGTAAGGACAAAATAAAAAAAGACAATATCTTTATTGAGCTTGATAAAAACACAGATATGTCAACTGATTTTAAGAGTTCATATAGAAATGCTCTCTATATTTAAGAATCAGAAAGGCCATTCATTGAATAAGAAGATATCTCAATTACTTTAGAACAAAGAGGCGGCAGAAGCTATTAGCAAACTAAAAATGAACTAGAGTAAAAAATCGTTGTTGGGTAGGATTCAGCAGAGGATGATGATGACGATTATTTTGATGAAATTAATTAGACACCTAGACCACATGCTGGTGTATTAATGGATTTTGTTAGATATGAAACTAATACTCACTTGAATGATTCAATTACAACAGAGCTAAGCGCAGATTAAAATCCTAATAAATATACTACTAATGAGTGAGATGATCCTTAGAATCTCTATATGATGATATAAAACAATAAGATACTAACATTAAGGGATATCATTGACTAATACTAAGATAATTTTAACAATAATCAAGAAGAAATATTAGAGGTAGTATCATAAAATCAAATCTTACATTAAGTTAACTATGATGAAAATTAATATGATCGAGAAATTACCTCAGCTAAGTTGCTAGAAAATTATCTTTATATCAGATCAAAACAATATAAGAATGCAAAATTCTCTGAAATTGCAAGAGGAGCTGAAGCTATGATTTTTAGAGTGGAACATAATGATGCTGATGAAATCGTTATTAAAACTACTAATTTACAGAACTCATCATATGATAATCGAGAATAAAAATAGCATGCATTTATTGACCTGATGAGAGAAACATTATAGTTAAAAATACTTTAAAATTAGGACTACATTGCTGAAGTAAGAGAAGAAATAATTGAATATGATTAGCAAAGGCAGTTAATATCAAATTATTGCGTAGTAGTTGAAACAGCTCATAAAACATTGAATGATCTTTTATGTATTTGGAAAGATCCTATATTATCTGATAAAAATCTTGAAGTTTACACTCCTGAGAAGTTAGTTTACTATTTTTACTAGTCTTTGAGCATTGTCAAGTATCTACATAGTAAAAATGTGTACTATGGTGATATGAAACCATCTAATCTACTTATATTCAGAAATTAAAAGGTAAAAGTAGGTGACTTTAGTGTCTCTATAAAGATTAATTCCAAAATTTAAGGCGATTAGAAAGTTTATTAATTAAAGGGACTTACAAAACTTTTTGCAAGTCAAAGCTCTATTTAGGCATTAACAAAATGCACATACATGTCAAAAAATTAACTCTTTGAAGCCGATTAGTTTAGTCTCATTAAACTTTTCTAGCATTGTATCAATTAAGTAAGAAGTTTAAATATCAAATAGGAAAGTAAATATTGGTAAATGCCACAATAACTGATAGATGACTTGATTCAATCAGATTCAATATAATCGACTCATTAAAAATATAAAGTTTATTTTAGAGAAAATGATTAATTCAAAGTGATGCTTATTGAATAGATGAAAAATGAGTTAAAAAATGAGGCAATTACCTTTTTATAAAGGATAATTTGATATAAAGAGATATTTTAGTATTACATTATCAAGATAATTATTAATGTAAGTGAAAAAATCAGAAGATATATTAGATTTCAATTAAAATCTTAAAAATACTATAAAATTTCAATTCATGGGGTTTTGGGGTTTTGGGGTTTTGGGG